GAGCCGCGGGGTGGGCGCCCGCGGGCAGCCCCACACGCCTGCCCTGGGTCATCCCGGGAAACTGGGAAGAGCCAAAAAACCTGGAACTCCGGCCTTGAAACTAAGGGCGGGGACGGGCAGGGACAGGAGGGTGGGCAGGGGCCGCGGGCAGGCAGGGGCAGTGGGCAGGAGCGGGGGCAGGCAGGAACCAGAGGAAAGGGATGGGGAGTGGGGGCAGGAGCAGGGGCAGGCAGGGGGTCAGGGCATGGGCAGGAGATGGGCAGGGGGTAGGGAGAGGAGGCAGGGATGGGGCAGGGACATGGGTAAGGACGGGGATGGGCGCAAGGTGCAGTCGGGGTCAGGGACAGGGACAAGGATACAGGCAGGGACAGGGACAGGGCAGGGGGAGAGATGGGCAGGGACAGGGGAAGTGGCAGAGATGGGGACAGGGACAGGGGCTGGCACAGCGACAGGAGCAGGGATATGGGCAGGAGCAGGGACGGGTGTCCCCTTAGTGTTGGGTGACAACAGGGCAGGGACCAGGGCCGGAATACAGGCAAGGGCAGGGATACGGGCAGTCTTATGGGCAGGGACAGGGGCAGAAACAGGGACAGGAGCAGGTATTTGGGCAGGGATGGGGCAGGGGTACAGGCAGGGGCAGGGACAAGGACAGAAGCAGAGATACAGGCAGGAGCAGTGCTGTAGAAGTCACTTTTTAGCTCAAATAAGAATCCAAAGACCTGTTGAAGCCTTAGGCTGCGAGCTGTGAACTTTCACCTGGATCTGCTGACCGTATGCTGAACTTCTGCCTCACTACGTGAAGCAAAGCCCCGAAACTGGTGCAAACCAGGAAGATAAGGTGGCCGAAACCATTGGCAGAAGCTGCAACTATTCAAGATAAGAAAAGGAATGACCTCCCTTGAGACAGGGAAAGGATCCAATGAGGAACAAGAAGACCCCAGACCCAAATATTGCTATTGGACCAAACCATCGCATGAGGGGAGGGGAACTAGACTGTAAGGGTATAATTGCCCAGGGATTTCTTTGTTCGGGGTCCCTCCCCAGAAGCACGCAGCTCGAGCTGCTCTTCACCACTATACCACTCAATAAATTTGCCTGGCGTACATCGTGTCAGCGACTCTGCTTCAGGGAAACCTAGGGTCGAGCCTGAGG